TCTCCTCAGGGATGTGTGTTGAGCCCCCTCCTGTTTACTCTGCTCACGTATGATTGTGCAGCTACCCATCCAGGCTGTCACATTGTAAAGTTTGCAGATGATACAGCGGTGGTGGGATGCATCACAAATGTAGTATGACATATCCTGAGATATATTCATACATTAAACGGGTTCTTTCATTTTTCTGGACTGAATGATGTCGTGCATTGAATTTAATAAAATGTGGACGTGAGACGTTATTTATCTTTGACCCATCAAAATGAATGTGGTCATTTATTTACAGAATCAAAGTTTAACATCAAACATTTACATTAATTTGGCAGAATATGAAAATAACAACATAATTAATCAGCTTTACAACCAGGAAAACCATACGGCCATGATTTTCCGTTGCTTCACCACAGACATTTCGGAAGACATCTGGATTAATTTGCTAGCAGATAGGAGAGTTTAAAGATGGAAAAATGAGATTTATCTACAGAGAGATGTGTGAGGGAATTTGTCTGTTTTAACCAGAACTGACACGCTCCTTCTTTTCCAGCTTGGGACAACGGTACGCTTGGTCGAAATAGAACTTTTACCTTGCAGATGATAGCTTCAGCATCGGTGTAGAGCTCTCCTTTCAACTCTTTCAGCGTCTCCGTGAGGACAGCTCGAACCTCGAGAGTCGTGTGAGGTTATCCAAACAGAAGTTATAATTCCCAAAATCGTCTCTGGTTCAGCTTGATTCTAATTCAGCAGCATCCTGAATGCCAGCGTTCTGCATTCTGGAACTTCCAAAACTCTCTGCATCTGAATTCCAAAAACTCTCTGTTTGAACTAGGAAGTGCCGACATTTTAATGGGCTCTACTTCCGGTTCGTTTGAGAGCCTCTGATTGGTCGATGGACCCCAACAGAGGTGTGTTTTGTGATGTAAGGTGTTATGGAAAGTCAAGGAAAGAGATTAGGATTGTTTAAGAACAGACAGAAAGATTGTTGGAGAAAACCAGACTTAGTGGCGTCACTCCACCAAGTATCTTGCTGTAAAAGTTAAACATGACATTTCTTTTCAGTAAACTTTCAGTTGACCGAAACCTGAACTTTGACACACTTACAACTCTGCTCACTTCAAAGCAGACGATCAAGAAATTGAATCATTACTCTGTAACGTACTCTAACTTGATTTCACTTTGAATTGAGGATTAAAAAA